TGCTATGTCCTCTGATTTGAGGTCTAATGCGAGGGGAGCTGCAGGGTCAGAGAAATTAATCTTTATGCAAATGTGAAAAAGGGATTTCTGCAGGTAAACCCTGGCACAAGTGCTCCACAAATGGAAGAACTGTATCAGGGGAAACCAGACAAGGGGCTTGGACTGGTGGAGGTATAAGTGACCCTACCCTCTGCCACTCAAGGACCTAGTCCCACCCTTTGGGCCATAGTAAATAATAAATTAAAGACTGATTTCCTTGTAGATACTGGAGCACAATCATGAATGATTAAAGGCAAATCATGTCCTGGAGCTATCCCTCTGAAACATCAGAAAATATCAGCAACTGGAGTAAATGGAGCAGTGGTTCCTTATTCAAATGTTAAAGTAAAATTGGAACTTCCCTTTTGCCTTCCCCTATCCACTGAAAACAGCAAATGTGACTAGGAAACGTAAATATGTTCAGCATGGATATTCTATGAGCTGGATACAGGGCAACACTAACTGGGCTATTGAAACAATTGATAAAGAAACAATGCCAGGGCTCCAGCCAGGAGGTCACCTCTTTGGGGACCAAATGGATAGCGGGTAGGAAATAAGTCCCCTGGTCCACTCGGCAAATTGATTATGTTGGACCTTACGGTTGGACCCTATGGGGTTATTCAGCCTGGAGAAGAGAAGACTCCAGGGAGAGCTTATTGCAGCCTTTCGGTACTTAAAGGGGGCTTATAAGAAAGATGGGGACAGACTTTTTAGCGATAGGACAAGGACTAATGGTTTTAAACTAAAAGAGGGTAGATTTAAACTAGATGGAAGAACTTTTTCACAATGAGGGTGGTGAAACACTGGCCCAGGTTACCCAGAGAGGTGGTAGCTGCCCCATCCCTGGAAAGATTCAAGGTCACGTTGGATGGGGCTATGAGCAACCTGATCTAGTTGAAGATGTCCCTGCTCATTGCAGGGGGGTTGGACTAGACGACCATTAAAGGCCACTTTCAACCCAAAGTATTCTAGGATTCTGTGATTCTATGACCTCTGCCTTTAAATACCCGAGGGGCGGTGTTATATCCTTACTGGAGCTGAAATAGTATCAGGCTTAAGGAAAGTTTTTGCTTGCCAGAAAGCTGATGGTCTTACCACTGTGGCAGGATTTTAATCAATGGTTTGCTGACACTGCCATGCCCTCTGCTGTGCAGTCTGACAATAGCACTCATTTAAAAAAAATACAAAATTCCATGAATGGTGTGAACATCACAGAGTTGCCTGGGTGTTCCACCTATCCTACAGACCCCAAAGTAATGACACAGTTGAGATGTCGAATGGGCTACTAAAGTGAGCTCTAGGACAAAGTTTATATGCAGGAAAATGAGGTAAAGCCCTACCTAAAGCTGTTTGATGCTTAAATAACTGTCAGACACCCACTGAATGCCCAGTGGAACAAGCTCATTTTCCTGCCCTCCAACCCATGAAACATCTAAAACCCCCACTGTCAGCCTGCTGTTTTTCTCAGGGTGACACTGTTCTTATTAACTACCCTTTGATGATTAAAATAAATTAAATTACTTTAGTAACTCCCTGAGAAAAGGGCATATGGAAAACTGCTTCAAATGTGAACTCCCTTTAATTTTCATGGAGGCTTGAATAATTCCCAAGACTGAGTAATTTCTTATTGCTTCAGGTACTGAACTATAGTTGGATGGATTCTTTGGCCAGAACAAACCTGGAGTGCACCAAGGAATCATCACTTTACCTTTGTGGAAAACTCAGCTGTAAAAAGATCATCACAACACCCATTGTATTGTACTAACCCTTACTTGTACCTTCTTCCCCCCTATTTCAAGAATGGGATGATAATCATGTCATTCAGTTCAGGAACGTAATTTCTCAAATAGGTACTCAATCAGCCTGTTGGTATGGTTTACACCACCCTTGATCTTCAGATGCTAATTCTGGGTGTGTAGCTGAACGTGCTCCTGGAACATCTTGGTACCAACCCAAGCTGGCATACTCACTCCCCAGCCCTCCAAATTATCAAACTCAACTTATTAAGGCACATTCTTATGATAAGACCCCATGGTGCGCTGTAATACCCCAACATACAATTCAACCTGGAAAAACAAGCAACTGTGATTATACCCTGCTCTACAGTCGGACACAAACTCGGTTTCAGCTGATATGCTATTAATCAAACCAGAGTTTGTTATGAATCCAATTTAAGAGCCATGTGAATCTGTAAAAACAAATCAATGATTACAAATAACATTGTTTTAAATATTTTGCCATCTTGGAATCTCACATGGATTGTTAATGGCACATTTTGCCAAAGACACTATAATCTCACTGGTCCTAATTCTACATTCCACAGAGTAATAGTTGGTTAAGAACTAACAGCAATTGGACCATCTGTAACTGGAATAACATGTCTGGCTGTACATACACCAACCCTTTCACACTACTTGAAAAGGCCACATTCACCTGCTTACATTTGATCATCCTGACAATAAAAAAGAGGTACACCAATGGAATCAGGAATGTTTCCCTAGAAATTTTACAGTACCCACCATTCCAGCATCTAGATGGTTCTGGCTCTGTGGCACAAATGCCTATAAGTCTGTCACCACAATGGGCAGGTACTTGTACCATATCATGTCTTGTTTCCCATGCATTTCAATAAAAAAATTTTAACTTCCACCTTTTTACACCATTTTTAAACCATTACCCTGTATGCAATGTGCTGTGATAAATCCCTTGGTACAAAGAATGATGAATTTCCATCAACTTCTGCATGCATTGTTTCCAAGTTTAAGTACTGATGAGCTGGAAAGAGCTATTGTAAATATTTCTGCTACGCTTGAAATTGTCCAAAATGCTACTGCAGATGCTTTAAAACATGTTTGCAATCTGAAATTAGTTCACTTTCACAATTAGCAATTCAAAATCATTGGGCCTTAGATTATCTTTTAGCATCACAAGAAGGTATATGTATACAGTTAAACACCACTTGTTGTTTTTATGCTAACAAATCTAAACCAATTCAATATGATATATACATCATTCAATGCCAAGTTCGTACTTTTCACAAAATACTCAAGCAACTCTCGTCAGAAGGTCTACCCTACTTTTAGCTGTGGTCCTGGCTACCTGACTTTGGAACGTGGGCCCATCACGTTTTTATTAATATTACCTCTTATTATAGCTGTGGAATTATGTTATTTTGTGCTATGTCTTACTTTAAATCTTTATGCATATTGATTGCTAAATTCAATGTCTTATACTGTCCTCGCCCCTCGGATGAACAGGCTTTGGATAACGCACGACATATTGCTGCCATGGAGTCCTCTTTATGAACCTGTTGCTAAACTGTAGGCTGTGGGCAAGAGGCCATGGTACCACCACCACTGGCATCCTTCCCTCTTAATGATGGTGTCAAGGGGTGGAGAGTGACTGGCACTCCTATTATGGCTAGCATAACGAACACCATTTTGTATGGCAAACGGCCATTCTCCGTGACCAAGCTGGTCATGTACCAGTCCCTTCTCCCCCTCTCCTGATGGCCCTGAAGGTCCTGCACATCAGGCAGACTTCTTCTCCCCCTCCCTATCGGCCTCAAGGTCTCTGGGTGCCAGGCCAACTACTCCCCTCCTTACCAGTCTTGAAGGTCCCAGGCACCCGGCCAACCCGGTGGCGATGGCTCCGTCACAGAACAGGGAAGGCCAGCAGCACACAGAGCACTGTCCATAAAATCAAGCCGTTACAAGCCCTAAGTGGGACTTGGACCAAAACTGCTGCTGGAATGCAAAACCCGTGATCCCCCAGTGGCCAGGGACACCTCCACGGTGGTCTGCTTCCTCTGAGGATCAAGTGACTGACTTGTATTCTTTTACATGTTTCGAGTCTAGATGATGACTGTGATATTGACACTGCAAGCCAAGTCTTAGGATTTGGCCCGACCTGCAGAGGGTCCAGGTGATTAGGAACCATAAGCTAAGCTATGCTGTAAAATGCTGTGCTATGCTATTTATAAAATTGTGCTACACTGATTCTGATTATAAAAATCCTTTGCTACTCTGATTGTAAAGTTCTATGCTATGCTGATCATCAAAGTCTGTTCAAATAATAGAGATTTATATTCTGCAAAGGATGCCCAAAAGAACCCGTCTGCCCCTGCAGTGTTGGGTGACAGCTGTATGGCAGGCAAATACATTTCTGCTACAAAATAAAGGAATTTGACCTGACTGCTCCAAACTCTACACTGACATCTTATAACAGAAATAAGACTAGTGAGATTGTTTTTGGGTACCAGGCTGAAATAGATGCATAAATGATTAAATCCAAAACCAAACAGAGGGAACTAGATGAAGAAGAAGAAGAAATTTATAAAACTTCCCATTTCCTTTGAGAATTCAATTACTGAAAACAAATGTGACTGACCTGAGGCAAGGACTTGTCCCCACACGCATGCATTTTCAGTTTCATTAATGCCACTTTTGCTGCTGTCTCACTGTTTTTCGCTCCTTTATGTTTTTTGCTTTTTGCTTCCTCATTTTTTTTAGAATCTGAGAACAAAATTATTCCTGTTAGTGTGACGATTCAGACTGTCTCTGAAACATATATTGGAATTACCCTATTGGTCCTCATTGTATCGCCAAGGTTCCCATCCCTTTCATATCCTCCCAAGGCCATGAAATCCTATTCAAGAATACTTGGAATTGTCACAGTTCTAGCAGAACTCCTTTACACTGAAAAGTAGATGAACACTATCACAAGGTAAATGCAGGTTGCAAAAGCGAAATAGATACAAATTCCCAAGTTTCTATACCTGTGGCCATCATAGCGTTCATACGGCAACAGTTTCAGGTCCTCCTTTCTACACATAACCCCACTGTCCAGCTAGGCAGTGCTGTTTGTTTATTCTCTTCCCTGTCCTAGAGCTTGTTTAAAAGCTGCAAAACATTACCTTGTAGACTCACATTTTTTTGCCGTTTTGGTTCTGTAGGTATAATCCCAGCAGATGGGCATGCACACCCAATACAACTGCATTATTTGCACATGAATTAATACGCAAATGATAAGGGCTAGGTATAATTCATTACGTTATAATACTTGTCGAATGAGAACAAGACAATAAATCTGCATGAAACCTGAGCCCTATTTAATCTTTAAAGATTCTCTTTATAGACATATGCTACTGTTGTCTTGTTCTCAGTCTAGATGAACAGTATTACATGCTGAGCTGTGAGTTTAGGGCTATTTGAAAAAGGAACCTCCATCCTTTCTTCTCATTTGGTCAGGCCTGAACCCTCAGAGGAGGTCACAAGCTCAAATAGCCTTCTGAAAAAAACTGTAGAATATATATCCCACTGTACTTGCCTACAATATGCTTAACTAGCCGCTGGGTGGCAGCCATTCGAGGTTTTGGGGTGTCCAGTTTCTCACATTCATGGTCTGATTGATGCCGGTGTCTGTAAACAACAGTGTGAAAATTGTATTACCTTTTCCATACACTAATGAATTAATATTAATGTTTAAACACTCTGTATCACTCACCTTAGACAAAAATGTTTTCCACAGTAGGGACATAAAACTGGCAAAAGCTCCTTCCCGTTGCAGTCCTTGTATGAGCATGGATAAGATCTGTGCTGATCTGGTTTCACAGAACTGTTTCTTATATTCACCTAGGCATTAGTACAAAATATTTTGTATAAATAAATAGATATTACAGATACAAGTCACCACCCCAGCTTTCCAAAAGACTTGGGCTAGCTCTCCATTCTACAGGCAAAACTAGTCCAGCAATTCTCTCCTACTTTTGTCCTGGTTAAGTTTAGCTCAGAGTTAGAAAAAGAACCATCATCCTACTCAAACTCAGTGTACTTCTGACAGGTAGTAAAAAAGTAGATTCATTTTTTCAAGTTTCTCACATTCTCAGTTAAATAATTCATACTTACATACTATGTATATATATCTAATCTGAAAATAGATAGTTAAATTGCACTGAATTTTCATTTTAAGATAAGCATATATTATTAGGTTACCTCAGAACACCCATGAGCATCCCGGCTCCTGTGCTGAAGGCTTTGTGGCAAAAGAAGAAAATACCACACCGTTATCAACATGTCAGAAAAAGCAAACTGCACGTGAAAACATTTAAGTGTTTAAAGAGTAATCTGGTAAGTTTTATTATGGGAACACTTCAATTAAATGAGTCTTCTCCAAAATGTTGTCTCACCTATGCATTTCATATCTTGAATGGATTGATCATGTATTTCCCGAGTATATAAAACATTTAGCTCTTGGAACATATATCCCAAGATAACAAACCATTTCAAGAGAATAAGAACATTAGCATGCTCAAGAATTCAGCTCAAAGCAGTTTGTCTGCTTTAATGGATTTTGAAACACATTCCACAACAGCAGAAACCCCTTGAAGACTTTCAACATGCTAAAGTGAAATCTGCCCTCAGTTTATCTCAGAACTTATCTCAGCTGCTGTCTGCTAATCTGAAGTGTGAATCAAAGTGCAGGCCCTGACTTGAACCTTGGAAGAAACTTCCAATTTTTTTTCTACAAGAAAAAATATGCACTCCCCCCCAAAAAATCAGTACAAACCAGGGTCTAAACTAGATGCCTTCCAAAATAATCTACCTGTATTCTAGATATATTCCCAGATTTCAAAACTCCACAATAGCTGCTTGGGAAAAATTTGGCACGTTCAATGAAACAATTATTTTTTAACTAAATGTATCTGAATTGAGCCACAGAATATTTTATAAACATTTAGATCTACACAACTGCCATACTGAGATCTCATAGGAAAACCAACTCAATTTCCTTTTATGACAAAGTCACCCATCCAGTTGACCTAGCAAAGCCACTAGATGTGGTGGTTTTGGATGTTAGCAAAGCTTTTGATACTGTCTCTTACAGTATCCTTCTGGATAAAATGTCTGGCACACAGCTAAAAAGTCCATAATACGTTGGGTGAGCAATTAGCTGATGGGTCAGGCTCAGAAGGTTATAGTAAATGGGGTTACATCAGGCTGCCAGTCAGTCACCAGTAGTGCCCCCCAGGGCTCAATTTTAGGACCATGGCTATATGACATGACATACTTATGACAATGGTTATATAAACGATTTGGATGCAGGAATCGAATGTACATTAAGTAAGTTTGCTGACGATACTAACCTAGGAGCTGTGGACTCCCTTGAGAGTAAAGAGGCGTTACAGGGAGATCTGGATAGACTAGAGAGCTGGGCAGTCACCAACCATATGAAATTTAACAAGAGCAACTGCCAGATTCTCCACCTGGGACAAGGTGATCCTGGTTATACATACAAATTGGGGGATGGGTGGCTGGAGAGCAGCCCTGTGGAAAGAGATCTGGGGTTTTGGGTTGATGGCGAGTTGAATATGAGTCAACAGTGTGCCCTGACAGCCAAAAGAGCCAACCATGTCCCGGGGTGCATCAAGCACAGCACAGCTAGCCAGCTGAGGGAGGTCATTGTCCCACTCTACACCGCACTGGTGTGGCCCCACCTCGAGTACTGTGTGTGGTTTTGGGCACCTCAATATATGAGGAACGTGAAACTATAAGAGTGTGTCCAGAGGAGGGCAACCAAGATGGTGAAGGGCCTCGAGGACAAGACTTACGAGGAGTGGCTGAGGTCACTTGGTTTGTTCAGCCTGGAGAAGAGAAGGCTGAGGGGTGGTGAACTCATTGCAGTCTACAACTTCCTCAAGGGGGGCAGCCGAGGAGGAGCTGCTGAACTCCTTTCTCTGGTGACCAGCAATAGGGCACAAGGAAATGGAATGAACTGCATCAGGGGAAGTTCAGATTGGACATTAAGAAAAGGTTCTTCACTGCGAGGGTGGTCAGTCACTAGAACAGGCTCCCCAGGGAAGTGATCATGGCACCAAGCCTGTCAAAGTTCAAGGAGTGTCTTGATGACGCTCTTAGTCAGATGGTTTAGTTTTAGGTAGTCCTGTGAGGAGCAGGGGTTTGGACTCAATGATCCTTCTGGGTCCCTTCCAACTTGAGATATTCTATGATTCTATGAACTTACCAAAAGACACCTGAACAGCCATCACATACAAAGGGGAGAAAATCTGAAACAGAGAGATTTGTTTTCAGTTAGACAACGTTGTTGTTTTGCTAATAGTTTCTAGCTTAATTTTTACATTATTAACTTTTGCGTACCTATATCATGGGTACGTATCTTTACAAGGACACCTAGCAACTACGTCTACACAGTACCTCTAAGTGGCTTTTTTAACAGATTTACACTGTTAACTCCTCTAGTTAGCATTACTGAAAAACATACAAGTAGATAAATTATATTTAGATACATTCCAAAAGTTGGAATTATGCTTTAAATTCAATTTTTTCAGTATCAAACTTTGAAACTAGAACATCTGGCTAGCCATCAAACTCAACCGTTACGCTAAAAATTTAATTTATTGTGAGACCACTCAAAATACTCTTTACTGACTGCTGGAGCACTGGACAATCTACACTTTTAGTATATGGATTTGCAACAGGAGGAGATGCTTCCAAAAAGCCAGCATCCCCTCCATTTGACAGTTCTGATGATCATGCTCCTTCCTCTCTATCCTTCATATCATACATACCATCCTTGTGTATTTAAATTGCACATACTTCTTAAGCCTCTGCACACATCTCCCATCTACTGCATCAATTCTTACAGATAAAATCACAAATCACTGTCTGCTGAACTCGGCCACATCACCAATGGCAGCAAACGCCCACCTCCAGGCCACTACTCCTGTTACTCCATTACTCAGGTTTGGTCTTAATGGACCACCATGCAACTGGACCACAAAGCTCAGGTCACGAAGATCTCAGTCACTTCATCTGTAAGACCGAGCGGTCCCATTGGAAAGCTTTCAGAACAAGTGTTTCTGCTGCCTCTCTCTGAAAGGTTACATCTTCATTACCATCATTGCCTGAGATGAGTGAAGGCAAGCAAGGGTGAAGAATGGAAAAACAAGGTAATAGCAGTTGGCAAGGCAGGGGATTAACCATCTAGTGACACAACTGAAACAACGGGCCCTGGCAATAGATCATGCGGGGCCGCAGCAGCACGGAGGACCCCCCGGCGGGCAGGCACCACCTCCAGCCC